CTCTCTCTCTCTCTCTCTCTCTCTCTCTCTCTCTCTCTCTCTCTCTCTCTCTCTCTCTCTCTCTCTCTCTCTCTCTCTCTCTCTCTCTCAATTCCTCTTTATCCTGCGTTCTCCCTACACATCATTCTCACGTACTCTATTTCACAAGTCCAAAACACTGAGGGCATATGCTCGCGCTTGAACTTTCTCGACTGATCACTTAGACGTAACTGCAGTCAGATACATCCAGGCCCAGCCACACTTGCGGTCAGATACATTCTGGAAAGTCCTAATGTGGGTGTAGCCTGATCCCTTCGCTCTCTTCAAGTCCTCAGACTCCTTACTCTTTTTTCTCTTTTCTCCGTCTCTCTTTATTTTTTTCCCTTCACTTTGTTAATCAGTGCTGTAGCATAGTGACTATCTTAGTCACCCATCCCCAAGACTGTGTAGCATGCAGGGAGGGTCTACTTACTTGAACCACCTGTACGCATTGCAACCATTGTGCGCTCACCCACCAGTTAATATGGCGCTACAGAAAGGGGCTTGGCCTACCGGGCCGAATTGGATGCTAGCGTCTGGTAGGCATTGTCACGTTCTGGAATGTGAGCGATCCTTTTGTTTTCTTGTCTAAACTGGCGGTACATCGCCCAGGCAAACTTGAGAACCGGAATCTGGCCAATCCGGAAATTTCGGAGGGTTGGGGCAATGAGACCCAAATGGCTGCCAGCGCCAACCAAAAGAAAAGAAAAAGGGTCATGCTTGCATTTCGGCAAAGCCTGGCATGCAGATGGAATCCGCCTCGACAAAAAGAGGCTCGGATGTGCTGGTGGTTTAACACTATTAATCATCACAAGTGATCCTGCGCTCAACCATAGGTTAGCACAGCACCATGGAAACGGCCTCCGCCTACCTGACCAAAATGTCTTACAGTGCAAGGAAATGAGCAATGCAAATGACAATAAACCAGATTGCACCATTCCATAGGAATCCAGATATCTTCGAGCAAAATGTCACTCTCCTATATTGGCGCTCGGCGCACAGACTACTACCGGACAGCTCCTACGACCTGGACACCTATCTACAACAGGTCATGAATGAAGATCATCTGCCCGATGAACGCATGAAGACTCTGTACATGCGGTCCACTTCTCGTCTACAAAGGTGAGTGCCTCATCACATCGCCCCCCTCACTGACTTCCTCCACCGTCCCTCCACCCAAGGACCTCGCCTCCGGCTATGGCCGTCAGCAGCCCAGCTATGGCTGCTGCACCACTCTTCCTGCTGCTCCTAGTAGCTGCCTTGCGCCCCGCCAGCGCCCTTCACCGTTCTGGACTGGTGCTCATTGACATGAGTGAGGGTCCAGCAGCGCTGCCGCATCCAGCTAGCCAGAATGCCAGAATGAGGCCACCTCTCCTTCTTTTTGTTGACTGTGAGGCATACGGGCTGGCTGGACTGACTGCGCCCTGGGCCCTTCCCGAAATGTGCCCGGGGCCCAACTGCCTGATCCCTGGGCCTCAGCATCTTTACCCACCTGGGGTTTGGGCCCTACCG